TTCCACAGTCCTGACGAGTTTTCGTATTTCTGGTGGATGAAAGTTTCTGTTTTACTATGCAGAGTCTCAGTGGGCTTCATGGAAAGTATTTCCATTTCCCTCTAACTGCCAGTAGGAACATGACCTGACACTCAACGGCAGGAAGCTCCTAGGAAAATAAAAGCAAAACACTGATTTATAGGAGAAACTTCTTGCTCAGCTTCTTTCTAGACAAGGGCTTGTGACATTTTGGACAGAAACAGCTGTACTCTGAGGCAAAAAGCTGTCCTATGAGTATGTACTTCCATGCCTTTAGTCATGTTGTCCTGTTCTACCTTCTGTGCAGATGATCTTTAAAACTGAGAGCTCAATGCCGTGTTTGGACAACGAAAAGGGACGATGCAGGGGCAGGGCTCCCCCAGCACCGTGGAACATGTCCTCGTACCAGCTCACGGCCTGGCGCTGGGCTGTATCCAAAGCAAGGGGGCACAAGCAGGAACACGCTGCCATTCTCACCTCTGTTCTGGGGCCAGCCTCTGCTATCTCTCAGCACTGTGATAAAGCCGCGTGCTACTGCACTGCCACCACTTCCAAACAAGCGGGGAAAAACGCTACTTCCTAATGGACTCACACCTCACATCCTATTTCAAATAAAAGATAGCAGGGCTTAAGTCGCACCAACTGCAGAATTTTAGATACAGTCTCCATGCACATGCTGCAGACACCAGGAAAGAAAAGAGCAACACAACTCAGGTTATTCTACAGTGGCAGAAGTTTAACTTATATATTTGTTGCATTACTGAGTGTTTAATCAACTAGGTTCTTAAGTAGCTGGAAGAAGAAACAGCCTTATTAAACCTACTCCATCAGTGGCCCCCACTGATGCTGCAGGTTGCTGTCCTTGTCCAGCAGGGCACTCTGTGAGCTTGCAAAGCCCAAACGCTCCCTTCCATTCAGCACCTACTCCTCAGCACTTACTCAGGTTGCAGAATTTTAAAACTGACATAGGAACACTCTCTAGAAAGAAAAATATCAACAAAACAATTAATTAAAATAGAAAGAGTTAACATTTCCTGACAAGGTCTTTCATCGTTAATCTGTTTGACATTTCCAGCTAGAAACAAAGTGACGTAAAAAGATACTGTGATATTTGTATTCCTCCTTTACTTGTTTGCTTTGTGCAGACCAAAGGCACTGGCAGTGGTGATCCAGTTTTGGATCCAGATCCAGTCTGAAGTATCTGAAGACTTAACCCACCCACAAGCCAATGTAAAAGCCTAACGCAAAAGTAACAGCACTTTATTGCTCATTAAGCACAAGTTACCTAAGCAGTGTGGAAACATTTCCAGGCTCTTTATACTGCCTTCACCTATAGTGTTTGTACTAGTAACTATTTCCTGCACTGCATATTCTGTTAAAGTAAAACTGACACACAGTCTTACTGGATAAACAGAATCTTCTGATTCTTCTTTAATGTGGAAGCCTTTTAACTTATGCATTATCAGTCTTTCAATGTAGACAAGCCAAATTCAATTAACATCTTGTATCAGTGTAATTGCCACAGTCTTCAAAATCTAGAACTAAAAGTGCAGCTAAAGCCCCTTCTCTTCTGCTTAACACATGAGATTAGTAGATAAAATAAAGTATTTTACTGGCTACTTCAAAGTGCTACACATGCTAAGTTAAAGATTCGTAGCAATTAAATTATAGCTATGAACAGATGTGTAAATGTTTATTGATTGCCTAACAATTACAAACACTGAACAAAGCTTATACAGATGAGCTATTCCAAACAGGCAAAGACAACCATGAGATTTCAGAACTCACATTGATTTATATTCCCTGGATATAACTTTGGCATACTCATGAGTTATTCCAGCACTGCAACAATATCAGTATAAATCACAGCTGTTCCTTGTATATGTTTGATTTCTATGCTTTTAAAAGTAAAGCACAGAATTGCTGGAACTAAAGGAGGAAAGAGAATTTTTCTGTTTTTCAGTTTACTTTGATGCTGCTGTGTGCAGAATGAGACTCACAGTTTCTCCTGATCTGTCACATACTAAAATATATATATATATTTAAAATAAAAGCAAAAAAAAAAAACCAAAAGAAGCTACAGTAGCAAGCAAAGGACAAAATTATCCTTGAATATATAAAACCACATTTTTTTCTTTTCCTAGTTAAACCTGAAGTTGCTGATGGGCTTTCATGGAATTCACTACCTTTCCAAAACAACGGACAGACATTATCACTCACTGGATACAGTTTAAAAGTGTCTGCATAAACGTTATTTATGATGACCCCAGAATCTGTTTATATCTAACTCTGGAAATCTGTTAGCTATGGTATCTCTATCTCATCACTGCCTTTTACTCTGTCACACACACACACACACACACACACAGAAATCCTCCTTTGCTGGGGCTGGGAGAATGGAAAATCCCCAAACAGGAGAGCAAAGGAATGAAGGGTAAGCAAAGGGTTTTAAGAACTGAACAGAGCCCAAATGTGCAGGGAGCTCACAGACAAAAAGGAAGCCTAGACACAAGACAAACCCTAGGGAAGCATTCTGCACCGAACCATTTGAGCGGTTTAGGATCCCTTGCTCCATGACAAGACAATGAAGAAACCTCAATTCTGGCATTTTTTTCTAGTGTCATAATACAGCATTTTTTTAATCAAATGACAAGTTCAAAATAAGGAAAAAAAACATATACATATAGTTAGCTCTATGGAATATCAGAAAACATTATTATATCACTGAACACAAGGTAACAAATGCTCTAAGTTTCTCGCAATCAAATATATTTTTGCCATCACCTTTTTAAGCTTCCTGCATTTTTTTAGCCAAGAGTTTGGACCCTGTTGAATCTCTATCTGCTTCTAAGGGATGGATTTCTGCATATTTTATCAGGATTGATGAGTGGCAGCCAAGATTATGGCATATGTGAAATTCTTCTGCAAAGCTGTCAAGTTATTAAATATAAAATCACAAACCTTCATTTCTAAAAGGTCCTCAAATATTACCAATTACATTAACACTAATCTTAAATGTTTAAATATCACGAATAAGATTATATTTGCTTAAAATCCGGAGTGTGTATACAGGGGTGGGTGGGTCTGCATGCGTGCATTTAGAAACACTTTGCTATTCTCTTCTCCTGCCCCTAAACAAAATTCTTTGGATTTTAGTTTTTGTAACTGGTTGCTACTTTTGCCATTAAAGAAAAAAAAAAGAACTTTTACGAGTCCTGTTCTGACGTTTTTTTCCTGTATACATGAAGGCACAAATTACTTTTTATTTCTTAAGGGAAAGCTGAGATTTTCATGTGAATCTTTTAGTAGAGGCCTAAAAAAACCCCACTGTTCCAAAAGTTAACAAGCCTGTTTTGAGTTCTGACCTTCAAATTCTACAACTGGCAAATAGGTAAATGACTGATATCAAAGTATCTAAGCACTACGCACAACATGGGCTATTCAGCTTCCCCTCACTACTCCAAAAAAAGAAGGCCAAGCAGCTTCAGAAGGCAAATAAATCTTTCCTAACATGGGCTGAAGGAACAACCATCTCACAGGACTATCTCTTTCTACTGACTGTGGGAAGGAGCCTGGACATCTGGCAGATACGTGACCTCTCGCTTTCACATAGTTGAGGCTAGGCAAGATAAAGCCCACCAAAGTTAAAACACAACTGATTTTGTATCTGTCACATACAACCTGCTTACATGTCTGTATAGAGACACTACCAAGCGGCCGTGGCTGGCTGAACTGCTGCCTGTCAGCTGAGCCAGGACAGCTGGCTTCTATCTCAATTCTTAACTCTTCTACCCTGTGAAAAAACACTTTGGCTTATGTCTCCTTCACTAACAAATTGACCAAGTGCATGAGATAGAGCCCCCAGCTTAGCTGATGAGCAAGTACTCACTCACTAAGGGCCATATAACTTCAGTTCATAACAGCTCTGAGAAAAAGGCAAAGATGAGAGTTTACTGATTTCCTCCACTTCCCGAAAAGTACTTTTCCAGTGTCTGAATGGTGTAACATGGTCTTTTCTGTAAAACAACTTTGTTTTACAAGGTCCTTTTACAAGTTCTCTCCCTTACAAACAGATGCATGATCCTTCTGACTACTAAGGTAGCATAAGGTGATTTAGGTTTTGCTTTTGACAGATATATAACATACTTTTTTCACTAAATAGATAAAGTATTTTGCAGATATTACTTTTTCCTATTGGAAGAGAGTAAGTATGAATCCGCACATTCTCTTTGTCTTAAAAATTGACCTCACAGCTTCGTTATCTAATATTTGACTCAGTCTCTCCCAAGGTAGAGGAATGATTCTACTCTCATCCTTAGAATATTATGGTGCTTAAGACACTTCCCAAGAAACACAAAACCTGGATGAAGCTAGCCTAGCTGCAAGCCTGACACATCCGCAAAAAATGCCACTGTGAAAATATTTTCCAACAATTTTGTTTCCTTTCCAGCAAACGAAATAATGGAAGAGTGGGAAAACACTGTGATTGACACTGCAAGATGATGCACTTCGTTTGAAAGAAAAAAAAAACATCATACACTTTAAATTTAGTACAGAGTCCCGGCTTCATGTCTCCCAAGAGCTGCATCATTGTGTCCAGTAGCTCCCGATTTGAAGTAACCAAGAACTCCCGGCCACAAGCCAGTGCAGCTACATCTGTGAGAGAACACAAAACAGCACCGTAAGCAGCAGGCTCCATACAAAAATGTTACTTATCAGCACATCTAAAAATACATCAGCTTTGAAGAACCAGGTATGACACCTATATAAACTTCATGCTGTCATCTACATAACAAATAGTGATGCTAATAGGTTACCGAAGCAGCAAATGGTCAAATTCTACTTTGGTACATTCACTCACTTCACTCTTTATTCTACTTTGGTGATTCAAGTAAGTGTTTAGGGTCGCCAGGATTCCAATGGTAACACAGTGAATTATGACACAGAAGGTTGGATTGAAGCAATTATAAACAGACATCTGCAAATGATGTACGAAGCAGAGTTGAGCACTGCAGGTTCCACTTCTAAGAAACAAACCTGAAGATTGTTTTACATTTTCCCAGCCCAGGATGCCCAGCACACTACATGTGCAGTGGCACACTGCACCACTCCTAAGAGTCTTTTCCTGCAAGCGCTGCTCATGCACAACCCCTAAGGCAAAAACATCTCCGACATCTACAAGGTAGACTTTTCTCATATATTTTCCCTCGGACTTGCTCCCTACTTTAGGGCCTTTTATGTGCCTTCACCATGATAATTCTCTCGCACTCAGAAATCTCTCTCTATGCAAGCCTTTAAATATTTTCTGGGTTCAGATTTCACTTTTGCACACCCAGAAATCCACACCCAGAAACATTTTCTGGGTTCAGATTTCACTTTTGCAATGTTTTTTCTTTGCAGTGAAGTAACTTCAGAGAACTTGGTCCCACCTTTTATTTGGTACAGTGGCCTAATACTTCACACACTCTTTTTATTACATTCCTTAATGAAACCACAACATCTAAAATCATATATTCAAAAAAACTGCTTATGCAGGACCCCCTTATTTGTAAATATATCCTTTGTCTCATCTATCTTGCATCATGTCATTAATTAGTACCATTTTGACACCTGCCCTATTTCTCATAAATGCTGAGGACACAGCATCACCATTTCTAACAGTCTTCCAAGTCAATGTCTGCCATATGAACACAGATCTGCAGCTTCCTACTTACTACGTTACCCTAAAGAGACACATTTTCTATGGAAGTCACATTTACTGCCTTTTATAACATTATTTAATCATGAAATCTAGAGGATAATGAAACTGGAGTCTATATGGCATGAACAATATTCATAAACAATTTAAAAATGCTGAATATATTCCTTAAGATCAAACTGATCTACAAAGATTATCTGCAATTAATATACCTGTTAATATTACTGGTGATTAAGGGAGTATCAATTTTTATAAATGAAATGAGTTCTAACAAACAAAACTCTCCTTACTTTACTCCAGATTGTGCACAAGTATTTCGGAACTCAATGGCTCTCAAACATTTAATCCTTAATCCTTAATCCTTAATCTTGTCACAGAGTACAGTTCCCCACAGAAGTGCCGAGTGACAAAATCTTCTACAACTTAGAAAGGCCAGGAAGTCACCGAAGATATCAACAACATTGACTAGATGTTTGATTTTGAAAACGTACTTACTGCAGCACACATAACACAACATATAAATTCCCACTGCCTGTAGGTGGAAGGCTAACGTGAGAGATAACACTAACTTACTTGTTACAATCCCTGCCAAAGCTAAGACAAACTGATTTTCATCAGAATCCAGATCCTGCTGCTTCATGTCTTCATTTAACGACTTCACAAAACTCTCCATAGTCTGTGCAGTGATTGTAAAAAATTTTACTGCTTTACTCTGGAAGAGTGGAGGAGAAACAAAATATTATACATACTAGAGTAACTATGGTTATTAGATTACACAAAGTGGACAATTTCTAAAATTACTAATGTTTTCAGTCACTTCACCAAGCAGCAATAAATAGTAGACATGCCCTCATATTTGAAATTATTACCAGAAGAACATGGGGAATTAGTTTATGACACAACTATTTATAAAATCTTCCAATTACATATTCCCGTCCTAAGCCCGAAGTCATGCATATGAAACCACAGAACTAATGCTTATTTCCAAAGCTGAGGTTATTACCTATTTGCTTTGCAACAGGTGCATCAGGTGTGTTTGTTTCACATTTACAGGGACTACAACAACTGCACTTGCCCAAACCTACCTATAACCAGTTGAATACTTCACTGGATCCTGATTTGGTGAACTGATGTTAATATTCCTCAGAAAACCAATCATATACTCAGAAAAAGTAGAATTCAATTGTGTCTGGACAGGATTAATGAATTGCTCAATATAGATGGAGAACATCTAGCTAGATAGAAGTTCTTTAGAAAAGGATACAGAGGTCTTCCCTGGGTCAGAGGCTGAATTTAAGTCCAGATCATATAAGAAAGAGAACCATCGTGCTAGGACATAAAGCAGGAATACAGCACCCGACTACATTATGCAAGTTACCGGCACAAGACCTCAAAACTGGAAAACTGCCTCTATTTCTGGTTATCACCACTGAAGAGCCAATCAACTGGGCAAAAGCTCAGAGGAAAATAAAGACAACAGTCAGAGGTGCAGACAGAACCGACAAAGAAAGACTGGAAGAACTGGTTTTGGTTATTAACAGTGCTGTCCAGGAGAACATTGCTGCAACACTATTTCCCACAGGGCACTCTAAAATCATCTGCCAGTGTCCTGAGGTGCAGGTAGTTATCATGGCTGTTGAACTTTCTTTCCAAACAGCTATCATTTAACTTATGGGGAGCTCTGAGGAGCTGGAGCACAGATCAGTCAGGTTCATAAATGCAAACATCACAAACTCTGTGCAGCCTCCAATTAGCTCAACAGTGTTTTCATAGAACTGAAGAATCTCTCACCTACAGACATGCTCTCAGAGTTCTGAGAGCAGCCATAAGATGCTTGAGCTCAGATGGTTCAACGAGCTCTTTGCTGTCTCAAGTAACTCCTGCATGAAAATATCAGTTAACAGTCAAAATTGCTGTCTTAAAATATAAAGCTGCCATCACAGCAGGTTCCTGCAGTAGCAGGTCACCTTGCAGGATCCAAAATTTCTCTTGTTGAAGAAAACCCTGATGTCATTCTAAAAACAAATCTCAGTTAGTGTCTCTGTACAAGAGCCCTCTAATACGAATATCCAGTTGAAGTTTTTTAAAGGCACCTAAAACAATCTCTTCAGAAGTAATTTACGTCCTTTCTGGCTCATGCAGAAAAACTCTCATGCTGCTTCTCTCTCTTCTCTTGTTTCATGAAGGTCTCCCTAAGAATGTTAGGCACGGATAGAAACAGGAGGCACTTCTCTTCCACTCCCTTGCAAACTCTGTGTTAAATCTCAGTTTTGCTGCCAAAGTTTCGACTTTCCTGGCCTTTGCGAACACATCTGACATGAACAATATACTGGCTATAAACACCACTTCAGTCAAACAGTCTTTATTTCTGTAGGACTGCAGGGTAGACCTACTTCTGTGTCTGCTCCACAGCTGAAAAAAACTGTTTGAAACGATTCCAAATTGATGCCACCCCTCCCACACCCTTAAATATGGGTGATACAGATTGAAGTTACTCCTGATGTTCCTACACTTTTCTGTAGTTACAGCATTTTCCAGAAAGGAGATGGGAAGATGCTACAAGCTGTATTAACTTGTTCAAATATAAACCAGAATAAAAATTTTGTATGACAAATCTCTACAATATTTTAATAATATGACTCACTGACAGTACTTGTTGCAATGTCATTCAATCCATTTATGGTGCTTTTCCTAGAAGTCCTGTTGCAAACCCAGCCAACTTTCTTATGTTATCTGATTATCACAAGAAAGCAATACCCCAAAACATTGCTATGACCTTTAACAGGTTGCTAAGAATGGCTGCTCAAATGCTTACTCAAATGGTTGCTAAGAATATCTATAGCAGAGGTATTTTGCATTTCAAACAAATTGAGAAACAAAATTATTGCCTCTTCATAGTTAGGCATTTTATTTTTTAACCAAATCATCAATGTATTTGTCTCGTTAATTTTGATTTTGATTAGGACTGAGGGTAAACAACGGGAGTAGGGACTGAGGATAAACAGGACGAGCAGGGCTGAAGGGAAACAGTGGGAGTAGAACTGAGGGTAAACGGGGGAGTAGGATTGAGAGTAAAAAGGGGGAGTAGGACCGATGGTAAACAGAGGAAATAGGACCAAGGTTAAAGAGAGGGAGTAGGACCGAGGGCAAATAGGGGGAGTAGGACCAAGGGTAAAAAGTGGGAGTAGGACTGAGGGTAAACAGGGGGTGTAAACAGGGGGTGTACAAATAAGGGTAAACAGAGGGAGTAGGACTGAGGGTAAACAGGGGGAGCACAAATGAGGGTAAAGAGGGGAGTAGGACTGAGAGTAAATAGGGGGAGTAGGAATGAGGGTAAACAGGGGAAGTAGGACTGAAAATAAAGCAGGGGAGTAGGACCAAGGATGAACAGAGGGAGTAGGACTGAGGGTAAAGAAGGTGAGTAGGAATGAGGGGAAACAGAGGTAGTAGGATTGAGGGTAAAGAGATGGAGACCATGGTGCCTTCACCTCCCTCTTTATTCCCTCTTGTTCTCCTCCCACTGCTTTTCAGTGTTTTTTTCTCAGTTCAACTCTCTCATTCCATCAGTTTATGGAATTCCATAAGTTTATCTCAGAAAGAAAACAAAGCAGGTATGTCCACTCCAAAGTACTGCTGTTTGATTTTTCTTGTTTTAATTATATTTTAATTGTCTTAGGTACTTGTAATACTTGTCTTAAGCAGTATTTTGATATGTAGAAGGCACACAAAGTCTAACTCTAAGTGACCTTGCCATGTATTTTTCTGAATATCTACTGAGCAGGAGTAGGGTGATGGTAAAGAGTGATTTGGAGATCTTCAGAACCCACCTGGATGCGGCCCTGTGCCACGTGCTCTAGGCGACCCTGCTTGAGCAGGGGGGTTGGACTAGACGATCTCTAGAGGTCCCTTCCAACTTCAGCCATTCTGTGATTCTGTGATTCCTTATTTTTTAACTGCTTTATATACATGTTTTTAGAGACTCTTTTCTTAGTAACTGCTGATTCGTGAATGACCAGAAGGCATCCTTGTACATTTTTATGATATCCAATGTGAAGCTACATATTGTAAATTGGTGTGCCCAGCCTGGAAAAGCCTTTATGAAAGTTCTAACTTACCACTTATTAAAAAGAGCTAATCTTATTCACTCAGCAGCTCATCATGCTGCTGAAAAGTCACACCAGAAGAAACTGTGGCATCAGTGCACTCAGCTCCAATACATCTATTCCTACCCGTGTTGGCTATGGCAATACCAAAAACCATGTTCTTACCGGACATACGCCTCATCCTTCCTAATTCCCTCAGCTGCAGTTGGCAGTGATAATGTGTTAAATTATATTAATGCCACTGTCTTTAACTGCTGGGTTTTTGGCTCTTTTAATAAGCTACCTGTCCTTGTTGAACACTGAACTTTTACTAAGATTCAGCAGGTAGGCTCTCTAAATACCAGACCCATGCAAACATTAGGACAACACAAATAGTACTTTAAGGTGCATATTTGAAGGAGTTGAAAATTGACAGTCTATCTTCCTTCCATGGAAGTAGCTCCTCCAAGCTCTCTGCAGGTATGGGAGCCACTGCATGCACAGAGCATTATTTTGTTCCTCTTTTAGTCAGCTTGTAGGTATTTACATTACATTAGATGCAGCTTTGTCTTCAGTTTAACCATGTGAGGTAGGGAATGAGTAATCTTTGTTCGGCAACATAAAAATTACTGTATTTATTCCTAACCTGCTGTATGCTAGATAATTGTTCCAATACTTCTTAAACGGAAGGTCCCCAAAGAATATACAATTCAGAAAACATTTTTGCTCTCCAATCAGCTTCTAACACACATTCTTTTCTTAAAATGCATTGTTACTTGGTACTTATATGCATGGTACTTATTTTAAATAGCTAGCAGCATTAGCAATAGGTAGTCACCTGCCATACTTACTGCTCCTAGAATGTTCTTAACTGCTTCCTCATTGCTAGATACACCCCACAACAAGGTGCAGACCGCTGCACCCATTTCTGTGCAATATTCTGCCTGCTGCAGGAGCTGCTGCTTAGCCTCATTCAGGTGCTGTCGCAGGTCTAGTTTCTCCTGAAATGGCATAAGGAAATTTTGGTTGCGTTTCACGTCAGCCCACATTTCTAGGCTCAGAGAACAGGAAACAGTATCATAGCCTCATATGAAATAGGGCGAGGGGGCAAGTTCTCTGCAGTTCCAGATACATACCTTCTCTCCAGAGCTCTATCTAAGCTACAAGTATATTGTGGGGGCTGACAGTAACCAGAAGCCTGTCCACAAGGTCAGACCAAGTGACATGCTGAGACTGAGCGGCACCTAGAGCAGTCTGATAGGAAAGACCACTCCTCCTACACAAACAGCTACATGTCTCAGAAAGGATTTCAGCAGCACAGGTCAGCTTTCCCAGCCATTTACAAAAGATACTGGAAACACCCCTTAAGGAGAAGGGTTGTTTTGTTTTTCAAACTGGACTTCTATCTCAGCCATTGGGGTAGAGTGGTTGGGGATCTAGGGTAAATCGTATCATCTCTTCCACCCTCCTTCCACTGCCATATTCCTTCCCAGCAGGGGCAAAGTAAGACAGTTTCTCCCTGGAGAAAAAAAAAAAAAAAAAAAAAGAAAAAAAAGAAAAGAAAAAAAAGGAAAAAGCCTCATGTTTGAAGTTTGGAGGCCCTTTCACCCTCAGGACCAGAAGGGTCCAGGCTCAATCACAGATCACCACCTGAGTGAGGTGCTCAGTGGTCCTTGCCATAAAGCAGTGGAGAGATAGAGCAATTCAGCCAGAGCTGGATGCAGTTCTAATCTGCCAGTATTCCCTCCCAGTCACACTGGAAGTTGGCCAGAGCAGTAGCAAGAAATAGGTACATTTCTAGGTCTCAATGGCTTCCTACCAACTGCCACAGAGGTAGTGAAGAGGTAGCTGCAGTTCCCAGCTTAAAGCCCACGTGGTCACTGAGACCAAGGCTTGGCCACAGAAGTCTGCAGTCTGTGAGGGCGGGTGCGGACTTCCTGGCTACTCTGAGTGGGGCGATATTAGGCAGTGCTACAGGGAAAGATAAAGGCCTATCAAGAAAAATGCTGTTGGCTCAAGGATTAGGAGAGCCAGAATTGCCACTCACATGTCAGAGGAGCAGAAGGAATGTGGTGCCCACTTTGTGGGCAATGATTTTCAGACTGACCACAGAAAATAGCTTCCTCAGCCCACTCTCCCCTCTGTGTATTTATTTATTGGGATGAAGTCTGGGGAAATGAGAAGGAATCTTTTTTTAATGTCAAGCAAAAAGAAAAAAAAATCAACTAAACATTCCAATATAAATTTTAAAATAAGTACTTTGACATTTTGGAGGTTCATCTCTATTTTGAAGTTGTGGGGTTGGAGAGAATAGAAAGGTAAAGTCATCTAAAAATGTATGTAATGTGACATCATCCAGAACAGCATTATTTGTCTTCTGTTTGTCATAAATTATTTACGCTTACATCTAGCTTCTGTATCATCCTGGACAGCCATATTTGCATTGCTTTGTTGTGCTCCTAATGGAATACACAGGCAAAGATTTGTCAAGTTCTAATGAAATTTATCTGGTACATCTCTATGCCTTTTGCTGTTGCTGTTGTTTTTTGGTTAGCTGGTTTTGTTTTTTTGGAGTCCACTTCACCTTGTAGTTTAACATATGCAAGAGACTTGCACTGCTGATTTCCTGGGACTTCCATGTCTACGAAAGGTCACTTATTTCGGCATACTTTGTTCACTTTTAAGTTAGCCCCATTTATCTTTTATGTAAAGACTGCACTGCTGATTTCTTGGGACTTCCAAGTCTACGGAAGGTCACTTATTTTGGCATACTTTGTTCACTTTTAAGTAAGTTAGCCCCATTTATCTTTTATGTAACTCACTACCAAACCGAGCAGCTTTGCTGCCACCATGAGCATCAACAAAACATCCGCAGGCATTTTCCTGTCTATTCCCTATATTCTCTTTCTCCTATATTTCCCTATATTCTCTGCACTTTCTTTTCTGCATTGTCTTTTTCTTAGTTAAACATATCTTTTAATATGCCCTGCTTGCACTTTGCGCTTGGGTGCTAATACTAACTAGTAAGGTATGTAACTCTGGGATCCTATAGCTAGATAGCTAAACAAGAATACAAAGGCACTGAAAAAAAAAAGTCATAATTTTACAGAGATCATAAGCAACATCTGAAATAAAGTTACGAACTGAGGAAAACCAAATGCTACGCTCAAAGGCTGGGAAAATAAACTGAGCAAAACCAACATAATCTAGCTGGAAGCAACACTCCCGAGGGAGTTCACATCCCTAAGCAATCAGTGTGCTGTGCAACACCACCATCTGCAGGAAAGGGTCAAGCCACAGGAGCATAGCAGGGCTTAAGCACCTCACTGTGAAACGACATGAAAGGCAGACATTAGCCAAGAGTAACCTATTTTTGCTCAGGTTCAGAAAGCATTGGAATTCTCTAAAACAGTGATACAGTAGAGCAAAGAAAATTTTAAATGGGAAATGTTGGTTTATGAACACCTAAGAAAAGGACTGCCTAGCTAGAGATGCATTTATTTTATGTTCACGTCAGTGAATCACTTCCTTGTCCTTCACAAGGCAAACAGGAAATAATTCAGAAACAATATGCAAGGATGCCTACAAGAAAAGAGCAATACAACAGCAACCAAGTGAAAAATACTGTGCAGAGTGATTAACAGGAACAATCAAACATACACAAACACCACTCTCTTATCCTGAAAAGCTAAAGGATTTCACAACTCATGTAACCACAATCCATTCAAAGAAACTACTTCTGGTGCATACAGCAAGCAATTTAGACAGCATGAACTGCATATCACTAAAGATATGGGGAGAAGAGCCTCAATCAGAAACACCAAGACACCAGACTACTCTTACTAAATAATCCATGCTCTAATTAAAGTTTTCACCCAAAATGGCATACCTAAACCCCCTGCCATTTATTTTGCAATCTTAACAAGAACGACAAGCTAGTGTCTAAAGTAGAAACATTAAATATTACAGAAATTTCAACCTGGATGCTTGGACAACTAGGACCTGGATGTACAGCCCAACTAACCAGGTACCCACTACAGAACTGCAGTAGCTATTCCGGAAGATACTTACTCCAGAAAATATGGAGCAATATTCAGAAAGACAGCTTTTCATAGTACCACCCAATTTTACATCCACATCAGATTCCATTCCAGAATGTCTTGCCCACACAGACCTGCCCTAATGCCACACATCTTACTTTTACATCTATTTCTTTTTAGAAATGAAAGCAAGCATCTAGGTTCATCTGTCTTCCTGCAATCCCAAAGATGGAAGATATTAGCTTCAAAACTCTTAAGGAAATCAACTGCTGGTAACTACTGAAGATAGTTCCATGGAAATTATTTTTTGCAGTAAATGATCACAACTGATTTCACGCTGCTCTCAAGAATTAGACAGCTAGTCTGTGTGATCCTATCTGAAGCCAAAAGGCTTCCCAGAAGACCCGCAGTCTGAGCAGATACGGTCTTGCTAATTGCTTCGTCATTAAGAGTCTCCCCTCTTTCTATCCTCACTTTTTATAACCGATTTTACAATGCAACACTGACACTACAAAAGGAGTTGTGTAAGGAGCTTTGATTCATGGCTGTACATGGCAATTGGATCAACAGGCGAATTGAAAAAGACTTAAAATTTTACAGTCGAACCTTGCCAAAAACCCTGAAATGCAATCCAGTGTACTGCACCTCACACAAGAAAGAAATGAGGGACATCTATGTAGCCACGGTACAGCTATGTGTGCAAGTGGGAGAGCAACTCTGAACTGCACCTACATTAATATACATTAAATGCCTTTTCTGGTACCATAGTACATATGGCACCATATTACATTTTATCTAGCTATAATATCAACCCTATTGTGGTAGAAACACACACACACAAAAAAAAAACTCAAGCAATTGCAAATTTCTAGGTAGCAATCTACTCATCACCAGACTCTGTAAATCCTAGATCGTTTTCCAAGGACTAAGGAAATGTGTAACATGCACAAGAAAAAACATGACTATTAGGACTATGTTATATGATTATGGAAGTTTTGTTACTAAAACTCAGGCATACAGCTATCACTAGTCTGTCTGACAGTAAATATACCTTCTTCTCTCTCATGCAGTCTGCCTGGGCTATTTCCAGGCGGGATCTGAAGTGTTCACAATCCATTTTCAGCTGCTCTACTTCTTCCTCCTTTTTCTCCATGTCTGTGATAAAATAAATTAGATAAATGAAATAATCAGTTATGACCAGCTGGTTTGCACTAAAGAAAAATGAATCTTCCAAATGCAGCATTAATGATGGTGCTTTAAATATTAGCTTTAGGCTTCCTCCTCGTGGCTAAACTGGTATATAGCAATTTGTTACATCTCAACAGTTCTTATAAAAACTAAACGAACACGATGTTTCCAACTGGCTGTTAAATACTGTGCATTGGTGGGATACAATTTTGGAAGAGAGCTCCATTCTTTCTTGGATTTTTAAAAATGTAGTTAATTTTCTACTTTTTATCGGTTTTCATGATCCGCAGATTTCTGTTATCCTTGAAGTTCAATTGAAGATATGACAAAAATCCAAGTAAGAGAATGGTAAATCAGTCAGAATAGAGTGGTTCAATACATGATGTGCAAATTACGAGAATAAAAAAAAATGTAATATAATTCAAATGTTTTCAATTAATGTTTATAAAGTAAATAAGAATGTTAAACATTATTTCAGTGACAACCAAGATTTATCCATTGTCCCCTTAAAAAGAGTCTCTGATGTTATTAGAAATATATTTCACTTTAGATGCTTTATTTTAACGAATGGAAATCTATTGAAAAAAATATTACACTTCAGGATCCTAAGGTCAGTTTTGAAAAGTTCACTTTGAAGGGTATTTTTTTAACATTTGTTGAAATTTATCTAGATTTGAAGAACCATGCTTCTGCATGTTCAGTGGGTACCAAAAAAAGAAGGGCATTTCAATAATTCCAAAATGTAATGTGCAAATAGCATCTCTTCTAATTTTTGCTCTCTGTATAAAAGACAAGAGATAATCAACTTCAAGCTCCATGCCATTGACCATGAATACAAAACTTATGGCTTAACATACTTTATATGTGATGTCTTACATGTGGACAATTCTTCTAGAAATTTATTTACCAAAACAACAAAAAAAACAACCGATCTAAAAAAGCTGATGCAAAGAAACCCATTTCTAGCTCTGCCCCATTCCCGAACTCTTCCTCATTCCCTGAATTTCTGTGTTCAGCCAGTTCACCCAGACGTGTGCTCCTTTGATCTGAAGGGAATTCAAGGGTGCAAGGGCTACTCCCAACATTTTTCAGTATCTTGACAGCGTTTTGTGCTCTGTGAAGCCCTAGCCGGCTGCATTACTGACACTGTGTTAGTGCAGCCGTGCTGCTCTCTGCGTGCACTGCGTGGACCCGAGGAGCACACAGGCAAGTTCCACAGGTTCTCCCACTGGCCTTCACCAGCAGCCTGTGTGAGCAAAGAGTATGAAAGGGCATTCCATGTAAACACAAAATGGCACTTCTGGCTCTAGGAAGAAGTCATACTTGTCCCCGTAAGAATAAACACGTAGTTGGCAGGCCCCAAAGCAGAATAAGGCACTGGACACGACTGAAAGGTAGCAACACATTGCAGGCCAGGTAGGCTCCATCCTATAGGTTATACTGGGTGATGTTCTAGACCTGAAACCCAATCTCAAAGCTCTGGCAAGTGAAGAACTGAGTATAGCTGCAGCAAATGCCAATGAGTGATAGAATTCCAATTCCAGAGGATCAATGTCATATGTATTTCTGGCATTTCTCCAGGGACCAAGTCCCACTGAACAGATGCACAGTAAGACAGAAATATTTTCCTAAGGCTCCTGTAGTAACTGGCAGTAAGAACAAGACGGACTACCTATAATAGCTTGTAACATGGTTCAACTAACTTGATTCAAGAGCATCCAGTTTCTGGAATGTCCCCAAGATATCCCCAGTCAGTATTTTGGGTAAGAAATCCCGCAACTGCATAACCTCCGTTGTCAGCCTTTCCAAATCCCTCCTTTTAACTTTAACAAAGTCATCTTCAGTTTCAGCCTTCTGAAATGCAAACAAACAAACAAGAACATTACTACTGCTGTGAGTGCTCTTCACTTTTCATCTCTTCCCTCAGAAAAAAAATATATTCCTCCGTATTATATCATTTCAGAAAACCAGAATCTTATTTTAAAAGAACTAACTAGTTCTTAGTAAAAACCCAAACCCCAAAAGAGTCTCCGAGATAGAAACTCTTTGACTTTAATCTAATTTTTGCCACTGTGGCCTAGAGCAAAAAATCACCTCTGTGCATCTGTTTCTTTATATAAAATGTGTGCAGCATAACTCAGAATGCTATAAAAAGTAATTTGATGTTCAAAAGTTGGAAAACAGTAGTGACAGACACTCTAAGCCATTGTTTTGAGACTGTTCTAAGGCATGCATGTAACTTTTTAAACTAACTCAACTATTCGCAAGATGCTCAGCCATCTTGCTAAATTTTAATAGTTTTCTCAGAGGCATTAGTTTTTGCTCCTCACAGAACATGACTTCTTTAAAGAAAAATATATAGTTTGCAATCCAATCATGAATAAAAGTAATATGTCAGGTGAAGGCAGTAAATATGCTTACTAATTTTCTCTTGTGCAAAACTATTACTGTAACTTTAAATCCACAGTCCAAGAAAACAGGCATTCATTTTAAAACAAGATAGAAATGTATGTATCAAAAAATAAACTCCTATTTCTGATGTATATATATGTACACAGTGCTGTAGCTTGAAAAGGCCACCATCTATTTACAATTACATACTTAATTTTCTTTGCCCAAACATTAAGCATCCAGTATGCTTTCATAA